GACTGGGTTGGATTGTGTGACCGTTCACGTGGTTATACATTTTAACATAACCACGCCCAGTTTTTCGGTGTTGAAATATGTGACTAGCAAAAGGCGAAGAATTCCAACGCTATGAAGCCGTGTTCCGCTCACCGGCCGCTTTCCAGCGGCCGGCCGCCCGGCCTGGCACCCCTCACCCTCCACATCGCTGTGCATGGGGCAGCCACTGTGTGTGCTCCTACTCCGGGACCCGGCCGGGAAGCTTACAATCTTGCTCCTGACCAGGCCCCCTCTCTGTTGCGGGCCCCATAGCGCCCGCATGGGTCGCTATGGCGGTAGTTCCGCCACTGCTCAACAGTATAAATGCTTAAGCCTATTAAAGACACAATTACACAAGTTTGGTGCCCCTGTTTTTTTTTAGAAAAATAACTTGGATGACTAGGCAATGAGTCTGACTTCCTAACAACTGGGGTGAACTTCAAACATCCAATCATTGCCATTGGGTCATTCATAGGTGTGTTCCACACAACTAAATGTCATTCTTTGCCCTTAGTGGTCAGCACCCCTGCCTGCTAAGCCTTATGACCACAGTTCATACACCCCATATAGGATAAGTCAAACCTTCATTCAAGGACATATTAATTCCTGTTCATGTTTGCATGTTAGGACAAAAAGGTCAAAGCCTACCCCCAATTTTGTTTTCCTGGCCCCAGACTTGTGTGGCCTTTCCATGAATCTGGCACATTTGATTGGTTAGTGTGGGATGGGAGGGATCACATGAGCCAGTCTGACTGGAAACTAGGCAATGTACATGGCGCATTCCATTTCTAACTTCTCAGCACCTATCTTACATCATGATAGTAAGACATCTAAGGATTTCAGAGAACAGCAGTCTGATGGGAATTGAAGGAAAATAACACACCTTTCACATTTAAAGTGTTTGTCCAGACAAAACTTTTTTGTTTTGGATAGAGTGGAGAAGGATTAGAACTCTTGATGCGGTTTATTTATTCATTTACTACAGGTATTTATATAGCGCTAACAATTTTTACGCAGTGCACATTCACATCAGTCCCTGCCCTCAAGGAGCTTACAATCTAAGGTCCCTATCCCAAATGCATACATACAGGGCCGATTTAGACCGGAGCCAATTAACCTTCTAGCATGGAGTGCAGGAGGAAACTGGAGTACCTGGAGGAAACCCATGCAAGCACAGGGAGAACATGCTTACTAATATCATGGGCTCCATTAGCTTTCCACTTGCTTACTGTCACAGTTTCACGAGAGAGGAAGTGAGGGAACATCTGAAACAGGGACACAGGAAGCAATAAAAAGCTGACAGGGTTTCTAGCACTAGAATATTGAATTTTAATCCCCTAACATAACATAACTAACAAAAATTACTTAACACATACCTAAGCAAACACTGATGGGGCCCAGTGGCGTCACTAGGGTGACACCATTAGAGGGAGTGAAACCAAAATGACTGAAAGTCATTTTGATGTCAACACCTCTGAAATGCCGATATTCTGTCATGAACCGAGAGCCAGACAGTTGCTTGAGAGAGGAGGGGACCCAGCGGCATAGCTTATCCCACCGGGTGAATGTCCCCTCCTCTCTCTGCCGGCGTCCATCACCAAGATGGCCGCTGGCAGGTAACAGCGCGTAACCTCACGCGCATGTGCAATAGCGTCACTTCGGGGTGTCACCTGGTACCTGCCCCGGGGTGACACCCTACCTCGGGATGCCCCTGATTAGGCCTACTAAGGCCTATTAGGGATTTCCCTCACTTTCCATTGTGTTTGCCTGACTGAAAGTTAAGCAAATCTTCCCAATAGGACAAAGACAGCGAAAAGAAAAATGACAAGGATTGTAACCAGCTTGGAAAGATTAAAACTCCTGTTGTATTATATTTTCCACCTTTTATCCCGCTTAAGAGACGACCATTCACTTTCTGTCTGGGAGACAGAACAGGAAATGAGAAGAAATCTCTACAATATGAATGTAATTCTAAAGTGCTGTCTTAGGAACAGGAGTACCAATGGCGGATTTTCCCTCATGTTTAGGTAACGGCTCTAAAACTTTGGATTTCCTATCAGTTTCTGTCTGAATGACAATGGTCACCAGAAGAAACAGAGTGATGTGTCTCCCCATCAGGGACACAGACAACAATAAAAACAGAAAGTTTAACCCCTCATCACTCTATCCAAAATGAAAAAACGTTTTGTCTTTACATACACTTTAAAGGAGAATTATGAGGTGAGTGATTTTCACTCAGCCTCATAATCTGAGCCGACCTGTGACAATGAGACTGTCACAGGTCGGCTCAATAGATCGGGAAGTGAGCGAACACATAGCGTCGCTCGCTCACTTCTCCATCTATCCCTGCAGAGAGCCGTAACTGTCACTCATGGCTCCCTGCAGGGATTCCTGTCCGATCCTCCAACGCTGACTGCCAAAACGGACTGGGGCTGGTACAGCTGGCTCTGCCTCTAGATAGGCAGAGCCAGCTGTCAATCCCGCAGCTGGGCCGATCCAGACAGTATTGTCGGGATCTGTCCCGGCTGCAGCTCGCGGTATACTGAGCTTTGGGTCACGGGAGAATGCTAGTTTGTGTTCTTCTGTGACTCTTAGGAGAACTATGGGGAGAAGGCCTGACCCCAGTTCTCCTTTAATATTTTCCTATTACTCCCCTCATCTCTACACTCTGACCCTAAATTGAAGTAAATGCTAACCCTACAGATTATCAACTGAACCTTAAGTAAATTATTGGTCCAATGCTCACCTTACCATGAACCAATTTATACTACATTTATTTATATAGCGCTGACAATTTATGCAACACTTTACATAAGTCACTACCCTCAAGGAGCTTACAATCTAAGGTTCCTATTAGAGGCCAATTTAGAAAGGAGTTAATTAACCTACCAGCATGTCTTTGGAGCATGGGAGGAAACCCACACAAGAACAGGCAGAACATGCAAACTCCTTGCAGATAGTGATCTGGTTTCGAACCAGGGACCCCCAATGCTGCAAGGCAGAAGTGCTAACCACTACACTACTGTGCTGCCCACATCCCATAACAAGCAATTTTGGGGGCTGCAGTCATGATGCTGAAAACCGTCGCTCAAGTGTATAAAATGATTCATTGGATTCTTTTACCAGTCAGTCTTAAAGTGCTCTCTTTTGTCATAATTCTTATCCCTGCCCTCAGCTGCAAATATTATGAAGGAAAACTCCGGTCTTCCTGCTCCAGTTATTATAACTCAGAAAAGGGAGCAACCCACTTATGGGATTGTGTCTGTGAAGGTTCTCATTCATCCAGGTCGTGCTATATCTGTGTAGCGCCCTCTAAAATGTCGCTATTCAATTTAGAGATACCTGGACTGTAACCAGTCTAGATACTGATTATACAGAGCTCTGCATTCTATAGGTGTCCCTGAGTCTGCTGGATCGATTGCTCCTCCTGTTGCTGAGGAAAAGGGAGCCTTGGCATACAGTGAGGGAGGATCCACCCTCAGGTTATGACTATGCACCTGGCCCTAGCCAATCCCTGAGTAGGATGACTCAGAGGCATGGTTGAGGGCAGGTAATAAAAGGTCTGGGGACATTGTGGAGAGCTCTCTTCCCCTAGGGGCCTTGCCCTAGGAGGACTGTGTGTGATGCAGAGCAAATGGCCTGGGCCTCAGCACATGGCAGGTGCTGAGGGGCCTGGAGGCCTAAGGATACACTGATACTTCACTGGGCCCATACACGTGGCAGGTGTTGGGTGCCTTGTTCTAAGAAGATACTCTCATTTAACTGGAGTGCTCCTTGGCAGTTGCAGATGCTGAGGGCACAGAAGTTCCAGATCCTAAAGAGGAAAATACCTGATGGAAGCTGGGTCGGGGAGGAGTCCGCTTGTTGAGGGGTACCGCAGAGGAGCTGGTGCGAGCGTCCGTCTGGGACCCACAAGGGAGATCCCACACCCTATTCCAGGTATCTGTTCACAGTACTACTACTACTACTACTATTGGTCCCTGGGACCAGATCGCAGTGATTTCGGCCTTAGCGGTTGCTAGGGGAGAAAGCTGTCCTCAGAAGTATTTCCAAATGGCATCCTACAGACCCTAAACCCTCTCTCTCCTATTGATGTTGCAAATAAATACCCTAAAAAGACCCTAAGACTCGAGCCGTTCTATCCGTGAGTGTCGGTGTGCTGTTGCTGATCAAAGGGGACTGGCAGCTGGAACCAACAGGTAGGAGAACCTATTTCAATATTCAGCGGCTCCTTCGGGGGTGAGCGCTACATCTGTAAAAAATAAGTCAAGGCGACTGGACTTGCAGTACCTTCCCTAGTATGGCTATTTCCAGTTCGGGATAACAAAATGGAGAACTTCTTCTGTTGCCTCTCCTTGCCCTTAGTGTGCTGAGCAAGTCCAGTTGATTTGACCTTTTTTTTACAGTTACACTTATGGGATTATTTCCAATCAATTTGCAGAGCCCTGAGAATCTCTGTGAACATTCTTCTGTGTGAATAGAGGCAAAAACAAGCATTCTTCAATTTATTTTTTCAGGTAAATGTAACCTAATACCACATTGTTGCCACTAGATGGAGCGGAGGAGCAAAGAAAAGAAATACTTATCTCACTTATCTCCATCTAGTGGCAACAATGTGGCATTACAGTATAGTACATTCGACCTGAAAAGCAAATATACTAAGAAAGTTTGTTTTTTGCCTCTATTCGCACAGAACAAATGTTCACAGAGAATTGTAGGGCTCTGTCAATTGTTCATAAATAGACCCACTGTTGTAACTGATTGCCATGGCAAGTGGCCGGAGCAAGGAATTAATTGACAGAGATACTGTCTTTGGAATATCAGGGAGATATAAGATTAATACAGCCTTTAATTGATAGCGTTATGCTTAATAACGCTCACATGCTCATATGCTCACACCCTTAATACAAAAAAATGAAACAATAGTTTGAATGCAATCACACTTTTATTTGGGGAATGATAAAAAGTTATATGGAGTACATACAAAGCAGGGGGGTTACAACTGCAGGAATTAATCAGTTTCATGTAGGTGCATTATAATAACGGAGAGTAAGGATTCCAGAAGCCATTAAGATTATCATGAGAAGGATGTATAAGGAAGTTATGACAGTAGTCGTAATGTTCAGGGTACGAGCTTTGTTTCCATAAGCCTTGGCCGAGACTCTGTCTCCCATCAACTTCCGATCTCTTGACTGTAGAGAGAAATACAAAAATGACATTTAACACACTCCCTTAGGACTAGTGTCTTCATAGATATACAATGGTCATTGCATGGTCCAGTCAATGTTGACTTCAGAGATAATCACATGTCTATGAGCTTGATGCAATTTGTGCAGATAAGCCCCAGCCACCCAATCTCAGGGGAACATTCAATTGGCCAGATTGTAGTTTTCTGTTCTGTCTATAGATGCCCTATATTGGTGTTGGCCGTAGGGTGTCTTTGCAGTTCATAAACATGCACGCTTACCCAAACGCACCTGTTTATGCATTGATCTTCACCAAAACTGGATGGATAATCACATGCATTGTTGTATTAAGAATTGTTGCTTGCTATACCTGAGCGTTGATTAGAGCTGCAACAGTTAATCAATTAAGTCGATTAAAATCGACGATTCGTCGGCTATCGATTGCTTAGCCTACGTATTATTTCTGGGATTTGTAGTTCCTCTATAACTGGCCAGTTTTAATCTGCATTGCACAGTATAATCATTATACAGCGCAATGCAGAATACCAGCAGTTACAGAGGACTACAAATCCCAGCAATAGTACATTGTATAATGTTGTACTATTGCTGGCATTTGTTGTATTCCTATATAGCTGGTGGTATTCTGCATTTCGCCGTATAATCATTATACAGCGCACATCCATCACTGGAGCCTTTTTTTTAATCTAATTAACCGATTGATCGAACTTAATAATCGGCCAACTAATCGATTATTCAAATAATCGTTAGCTGCAGCCCTAGCGTTGATCTTCCTACTCAAGCAAAAGGTGGCGGCTGCTTCTTTTCATGCACGGATCTGCAGGCTCAGATATTAATACGTTTGGGTATGAACAGGGCTGGATTTACTCTCTCTCTGCTCCCCAATGCCAGGTTCCTCAATGTGCCCCCCTGTATGCAGGCTGCATATAAGCAGAGCCGTAGCTAGCTCCTTTGGTGCCCGAGGCAAGAACAGAAAATTGTGCCCCCAACAGATGTGTGCGGTATGTAACGTCATGTGCCCCGCCTCCAGGATGGAGTCTTTGCACATGTCACATGTCTAGTAATATGTGTGTGTGTGGGGATTCACTCGCCCCATGGGAGCTACAGCCCTGCATACAAGTGATCTCGACGACATCGCCGAGATCACTTGTACAAAACAAGCGTCGGCTTCCCTGCAGTACATTTAGCTCTGCTTGCTCAAAGCAGGGCTAAATGTAGAAAACAACTACCCGCCCGGTGCCCAGAACTGCATGTCCCGAGCATCGGGAGATAGGAATTCCTCAACCCTGCTGCCCTTCTACTCCCTGCTGCCCCAAGGCCGGGTCTCGGTTGGCCTTGTGATAAATCCGGCCATGGGTATGAATAAGTCAGAAGTAAGTTGAGGCCTCCATTAGAATTCTGAAATTTTATGCAGCTCCTCATGAGAAAAAAACAGACAGCCTGAGCTCGGTAATATTCCAGAATTGTAAGAAAGGTTGTAGGCGGGCGCTGACTTACTCATAATCAGAAAGTAAAAAGAGACCCCCAATGGCATTCAGCAGCTGAGAAGGATCCTCTTTATACACTATATGTATGATAAAGATTTAGTCCTTATATTAGATCACGATCCTTCATATTAATTAGCGCTTTTCTGCCTTGCTGGCCATGGGCCTGATTTGAGTGAAGAACTAAAACATGTAAAAGTACACCAGAGTGCACTGGCATAGTGAATTACGTATCAACCTTTTAATACAAAGTGGCTGTGTTCACTTATCTTATTTCTCACAGGATGATCTTTAATGCAATGGAATAAGTCCACAAGTGTAACCCAGTTGTATAGCTGCTATATATTCAGAATCTGGGCAACACATGTCCTTGGCTGACACATTTCAAGGGGCATTCCTTCTTCCTCAGAGCTCTGTTACTTCCATCACTATGCCAGTGTTTTTCATACATAGTTGATATTTTCAGTCTGCTATCTCTCCAGATACATTAACCCTAACAATTAACTTCTCTTATTTGCTTGCTTTTTGGTCTGTTAAAATTACCACCAAAAGCATTTTGTTATAACTGTTTAATCAGTGAAAAAAATAGCTCTTTATCCTACCAGAAATGTTATGAGCTAAGAACGTCCTGTGTCCATTGCCTCTGCTGGGTGTTATGCGCTATCACTGTTCTGACTACAGAACTCCTCCCTCCCATGCTGTGGAGGTAGGGTCTTTTGAAGTCCCAAAACAATTCCTATCATAGGGTGACACCTATAAGGCTTCATATATACAGTCCCGTGAGTGAGTGTCACTCTATGACAAGGGGTGGGTTATTTGAGGGATCAGCAAGTGGAAAAAGAGCTTGAAAACAGCCAACACATCTAAGGACTGGTAAGCTACAATATATTACAATTTTGTAATTTTGATGCACACAGACATGCACTGTGACACCTAAATGGCAGGAAGCAGCATCGCCTCACACCCCCCCGAAGGCCGAGCAAGCCCAGAGATAATTAAAACAGACAGTGGGGACTGGACCATGTTTCATATCTCATCACGTATACATTCTGCCTACCTTTCCTTTTTTTTTAGTTTCTGGAAGAGTGGCGAAGAGAAAGATTCTCTCCCAAGTTTTTATAACTGTCTGTGTCACCATCAAAGAGATCTTCCTTCACGTACTGTCCAGTAAAATATCTCTCTTGGGTGAATTGACCTTTCAGATTTGGATATATGGGCTAAAATGAAGAGGAAGTGAAAGAAAATCTCTCTAAAGTGAAGGGAAATCCCATCAATGACAGTTGCCATCTGAATGGGAGTTCCCATTGGGAGATTTACCATTCCCTCTAGTTCCTGCGGCAACTAACATTTTGGATTTCTCACCACTAGGACAAACAGTAAGCATAGATCTCCCCAACAAAGACACAGACAGCAATAGAAAATTGAGGTTCTAACCCTCCAAATACTATTCAAAACATAAACAAAAACAACTCTTGGCAGCTTCAGAGGGTTCAGCAGTCCTTAATATTCTTTTCACACGGTTGCCCATCCACTCTGAAGAACAGGGATCTGTGCACAGCTCTCCTGCTGAGTGGAGCAGTATGGAATGAATGTCATTTAATTGAAGCTTACACACAGGATACGTATTCTTATTTAGTAAAAAAAACGACTGTTATTTTCAGTTGAATCCAATAAACTTTGAAAATGATGTTCACATGGCTGAAAATAAAGTCCCTGAGGCTGGTGTTAAAGCTTTGTAACTTAGGCCTGTAATATGATAAATAAAAATCCGTCAGGTAGATTGGGACCCCACCATAATGGCACAGCAGGTACGCAGACCCAGGAACTTAAGGCTAGCAATCTTACCAGCAGAGTAATGAGGTAGTGACCAGTGGGAGGAGCAACAGCTCCCAGCAGGGAACACACTATCCAACACTCCCCGTATGGTTACACAAGCCATTCATGTACTGATATGTATGTATGTATGTATGTATGTATGTATGTGGCCGTTAATGGGCAATGCAACACAGATTCTATCTTTTATCCTTTATATTATTAAAAGATATGCAATAAAAAGCTCTTTTATTTTCAAAAAAGCATTCCGGTTTCATGAGTCCCACATTTTACTCTGCTATATGTTCCAATAACAAGGTATGGGGGTGCCATGTTTATTCTGCACTGGCTGACCATACATTCATCAAGAAGCAGCCCAAATTCATTCAGTGAGTGGCTCTATCAGCAGCCTTCCGTCTGGCATCTTGTGATCAGTAAATCAAAGGAGCCGGATGTAAAATTTTCAGGCGAACAATGACGCCAGCCACTGCCGTCACTGTTCGGGTATGCTGACAGCGACACGCCCGCTGCTGCCAATATGCAAAGGGCTTAGTGGAAGATTTGCTCATCTATGCTGCTTAGCATGGATGGAGGAATCTTCAGGGTTTATTCATATGGGCATGCACGTCCTTACAGCATGCACGGCCACCTAGAGAGCTGCTCTGGGGAGAGATATATGCTGTGTGTACCTATGCAACTGCCTGTACATCCCTATGGGAGGACGCGGCTGCACACGGCTGGCTACACGTTGACCAGAACCTGCACATATGTGCAGGTCCGGGTGCACGCCTTTGGACACAGATGTAGGCACTGGACCTGCACAGATGTGCAGGTCCGGTCAGCGTGTGGCCACATGCAGCCACTATTATTAAATTGCCTCTTTTACTGAGTGCTACTGTTTCATTTTTCTTACTGTGTCACTTTAAGGGGTAGTTGGAAATGAATGTTCACATATAATAGGTCACTTAAGGTGAGGTGCTCCATGCTCCATGCCAGGGGATGTTAGGTAAATACAGGTTTCTATAAAGATATATCAATATATACATATATTTTTTGTTATTGTTGTTTTGGTCTTTTATGAATTATTTAATTTTCTATATATTTTGAAAGTTAAAAGAAATACTAAATAAACATGTTTTCCGCCAGCATGCCCGGGTTAAAAAAGCCTTTTAATACTGTGGATACAAATTTCATTCTGCGAAGTTGACCCATTTATCATGACACTGCACATTCACTGATTCACTGCAGATGAATGCTTCTGATGCATGCATCGTATATCACATAAATTCACCTGCAGTGAATGTTTGGTGTATGTTAAAGTCACTGAATTATAAAAACGTATTACTATGTTTCTGGTACAAAGTATAATAATGATGTTTAAAAATGAATTATTTTTTTTTTGTTAATTTTTTTTTTTTTACAAAAAAAAGCAAATAAATGTAATTTCTGTACATTTTTAAATAGGAGGAAAAAAACTAATAAGAGAAGGTGATTGAATGAGTTAATTTGGGCTATGTAGGATTGATAGGAGGTTTGAATAGGAAAGAATGTTATTATATTTTTTGAGAGGGTTAGTACATAGTTATGCTTCAGTTAAAGTTGCAGAGCAGATGACAGGAAAAGCCCGTGTTCTGTATGTAACAGCTACAATTAGAGAACAATTAGAATAAGAAATTGTTCTGAGGATCTCTCAGCTCATCAGAAAATTAACATCAACAGAGAGAATACATCCCACAAGAATGAGGCCATATTATGAAACACAGTTTAGCTAATTAATTACTATTAATCTATTTTAGATTACATACTACTAAAATAGTTAGTTAACATGTCCTATTATTATTTTTAATCCTGAATAATATTAATACTAAATCCTGAATAATAATAATAATATTAATACTAAATCCTGAATAATAATAATAATAAATCCTGAATAATAATAATACAATAATATTTATTTTTATTTTTCCAAGGTTCAGACACCCACACTGTGCCCCTGAGCAGGAGCAAGGGTAAAGCAAAGTATGATTTCATAAAATCCATATCACTCTAACCCAACTCGCAGACTGTGTTCACTGTTCAAGAATTGACATTTTATTTCTGTTGAGACTCGCTATAACTTGCTCTTAGAATGATCACACAAAATAACGGACTACAAAAAAAGTTTACAATTCTGACTGTCGTTAACAAATCTAGTGTCTCACCTTCACAGAGTACAGAAGAGCAAAAAAACCCAGGCAGCAGCAGTTCATGTACAAGGTGCTGAAGATGGACCATACAATGTGATCGCTGATCAGAGAATTGTCTTCGACGATGGTCACCACAGTAGTTGTTGCAGGGTAACTGGGAGCACTGTATGCTGGCACTTCTCTATGTGGGTCATAGCCTAAGTTAACCTGATTAACGTATACTCCTTCTCCAGGGTTAGAAGAATCCATTTTCTTCTCAGCATCCATTCTGTATGAACAGGTAGAGATGACTACTTGGAACCTGATGGAGCTATGGTAGTAAGTTACAGGGAGGTTTTATATCATGCTAAAGGAAGTGCCATATTTCACAAGTTTCCGTTCCCATTTTCGTTTTACCCTCTTCGGAATTCTTACACGTCTTCCAAGTTCTGAATAGTGAGCATCTAGTTGCAGGCACCTTGCACAATTCAGATACTGTTACGAAATGAAATTACATTACAATTCCTGAGTTCTGAATAGTGAGCATCTAGTTGCAGGCACCCTCCACAATTCAGATACTGTTACGAAATGAAATTGACCTGAAGAATTGTGTTTCCCTATTAATCCATTCACATTTTTAGACACATACTAAAATGTGCATTTTTGGCTTGTAAATGTATTAAAGCGAACCTTTACCCCCTTTCACTAAAAATCACATCACCGTGCAGATCTGCATGCTGACATGAAGCCATCTTACATTCATTAGTTGAACAAACATGTTTTTAATTTACTTACAAATAGAGAATACAAAGCCGGCAATTATCTAGAAGTATGTGTTTGTAGATTGTCATTACTAAACAATTCTAAAGGTGCCTTTGTTGTTATTTGAAAGATATGGGGAAAGTTCCGCTTTAAAACTCTCAAAACAATATATATTACTTGAAAAAACAAGTATTCTGCGCTATTGGAAAAAGGGAAGTAAAAGAAGAAACACCGGACTAACTGCAAGCTGATCATCTACGTATCCAATTATAGAGAATTCTAGCAGACCACGTCCTGGAGCTGAGACCTAGGTGGGATTTTAAGAAGAACCCCACATTTGTTTTTAATGACTGCACTGAAATTGAATCAGATTGTATACTGCTGTATGGTAAGCCAAGCTAATTGTAAAAAAAAAAGATCAATTCAATAACTAAATATGTGCTGCCAGTGTATGCTGCTCCTGACACTGCCCTTGCAAATCGTACTATTCTGTCACACCTTGTGCTGCTATAGGGTATGTGATTTAAAGGATTTGTGTATTTACATTGTTGCTGTTTAAGCCGTATGAAAAACCCCCTCTGCTTGCTGTATGGTTTTTTGAAAAAAAAAATGTTTTGTAATAGGACATGTCCCCCACGGCAGTGCCAAGTTTTCCCTGTCCTTGACAATGACTTGCCTGATAGCCTTGAAAAGTGCCAGAATTTATTATCAAAATTCACCTCCCAGAGACTTCAGTGAGGTTTGCCGTTAAGTTAGGGGTTCCTGAAATATTGCCGAATTTCCTGCGCACCAAACCCAGGCAGATTTGCTCATCCCTACCAATGGCACATTTAAAAACGCAAGCTATTGATGACATAGTATATAGCAGGCACACTAATTGACGCATTGTGTAGTAGAGCCAGAAGTCCTTATTTGCATTTTTGATCTAGGTCTCTGACTCAAAGTATTAATGCCAGAGGGTCAGCATGAAAGCCAGGCTAGTAGCATTTCTCAGGAGAGGTCAGCGATGCCAGCGTCCATGTTTCTAACATGTCAGGATTTCATTAAAACAATTTTCCACTCTTAATTAGTTTGTTAATGTACACTGTGAGACACTCTTGCATTAAAATTAGAGTAAGTGGTTTCAGTAGAGGAGAGGAGTCTGTGCAACTGTGCAAGGCTGAAGGTAAAGGTGGCCATACACTTTACAACCATCGCAAGACTAAGGTCTTGCGATGGTTGTAAAGTAAATAAAAAAACGTACGATCTGCCCATCTTTGACAGGCAGATCGTACTTGCGATGACCGCAATGCTGAACGGGCAGTGTGGACGTGCGCACACTGGCCCGTTCGGCATTTGTCTCCCGAGCATCATTCAAAACCCAAACCAAATCTTACGATTTTCGGCTGGTTTTCTAGCATGCTCCTTATACAAAAGACGTGCGACCGTACAGTAGAAACGGTCGCAAGTCTTCATTCACACTGCACGATTCTCATACAATCACGGGATTTCCAGCGATTCTCGTATGAGAATCGTGCAGTGTATGGCCACTTTTAGACTGAAGGTCAGCTTTAAATCTGGCTTTACACATGTGCAATGTGGTAACAAGGTTTACTTTGCATGACTGCAATGCCTGATCTGTGGTGTGGTGCCAATCGTCTTTATTTTCAATGGCACCCCAATGCACCTCCTAAGCCCACCTCAATGCATGTACATTTCAGGAAACTACAGCGCACAGATGTATGTTAAAAAAAATTGCACATGTTCAAAATAAATGGACTGCCTTAACGCACAGTTAGGAGCGAATGGGTGTAAAGGGGATACATCATCCACATCCTGCAGAATACAGATTCTACTTCAATAACCTCAGTTCAGCTGATCTATTGGTTCGCTTTCATGTATATATTTAGGTACTTCTTGCATGTGAATCTTGCATCTTGCCCAGATGAGCCTCTTCTCTTCCTTAAAGGCCAATTCTTGGCACAAGGCAAACAAACTCTTGCCTTGCCCCCTCACCTCCCTTGCACACAGGCATCTAAACCCATTCAACATAAATTTCTGTGTATTTTCCCCGCCCAGGAAGCACATATGCCGATGCTCACATAACCATATGTATAGTGGATGGGCATATTCCAAAAATAGAACATTTTTTTATGCCTGTACGCAAGTATACCAGCATACAGCCGCGCACAGCCATTCATTGTTATGGGTGGCTGTATGCAGCACCTGGGCTTCCCAGGAAGTGAAAATATGCCAAAATTCACATTGCATGGCCTTTGGCGCCTATGTGCAAGAGGTCTAACTCCACATTACTCCATACCTGTTACTTATTAGTTATATGTTTATGAAACCCAAATGTTCATTAGAGCGATGTAGCAATATGTAGATTGCAACTGCAGATTGCATGCATTAGACCTGCTGCCGTTCTGAGCTGTAAGGGTCGTGTCTCATTTCTGTCTCTTCATAGGCATACCTAATGTTTCTCTATACTGAAAGAAAATGCTCACACCCAAAGTGCAGGGAGCTGATAAAACACCCAGAGAGATAAGTGCAGCAAGTCAAAAACAACAACAGAGGCTGCACATAATATACCCTAACCGAGCATTTCTCAACCTGGTCAGGTCTCGGGGAACCACTGGCAAAAATGATGATACTTACAGCTCATGGTACATTAGCGTAATTGCATTGTATAAAGTTTTAGGGCCCTTTCACACCATTGCAGTGCATTAGTGCACACACATTACAATGCTTTATTTACACGGTGCTATGGATTCTTGCTGCAGGGATCCCAGGTGTGTCTGTACAGATAAGACTGATCTTCCTGTTCAAGTGAATGACAGGCTGACAGTGGCCACATTTGTCACTGGCTGTCCACAGACTGATTGCATCCCGCAACAAGCAACTCTTCTGATCTGCACGTAATTGAATACATCCAGACAGCCATGGACAGATGCGGCTGCTGTCAGTCTGTCATTTACTTGAATGGGCGCAGCAGCACCTGTACAGACCCACCTGGGATTCCTGCGGCAAGAATCCAAAGGTTCATGACGCTGGAATCCCCAGGCGCAGTCTTAAGCCCTGTGTGAATGTAGCCTTACATATGTTAAAGTGTGTTGCATTAAGGCAGCCCAAAAGGTGTATGTACCACAGTATGACACGCATTAGTGTGTTGCTGCATGTTGCACTGTGCAGCACCATACATGCATCAGCAAGGTGCGTTGGGCTGCCATTCACAAAGAAAAAAAGAAAAGACAATTACCTGCTGATCTTGCAAGAAATCCAGAATGCTTATGACTTCTTCTTTGAGCTGACAACGCTGACTTTGCTGAAATGTCAAGCAGTGATATCAGCCTTCCCAGGTCTCCCCTTGAACTAAAGCAAAAGTCCACGAACCCATCGCACTCCTGACCACTATGTCCTGAACCGATTGGTGGGTGCTGCAGTGTCCAACGGATGGCGCAGTTACATATACAAAGTATACATGAGGCAAGGGCACTCCATCACATAAGTGCAAAGTTTTGGGGTCACGCAGGATCCCCTTCACACATGAATGCAACATTTTAGGGGCACACAGGATCCCCTTCTCACAAAAATTCAAATTCATAAATTAAAGGGGATCCTGGGTGACCCCGAAACGTTGCATTTATGTGATATGCTGCACTTTCGTCAATAAAGATGCACTATTCACCATTTGGAGTACCGGTGCCCCATTTACCCCTTGATCTAAAGAACACACCCCATCTTAGTTTTGGATAGAGGGTGCTGTGTTCTGTAGTCCATCTTAGTTTTGGATAGAGGGTGCTGTGTTCTGTAGTCCATCTTAGTTTTGGATAGAGGGTGCTGTGTTCTGTAGTCCATCTCATGTGAACTGTTCAGGGCTGCCAACATTCCTTGGGATTTCAGTGCAGCAAAGGCACCATGTTATTAGTTCAAAGCGGAAATAAGGATTGCAGGTACATTAATAGGTATTTCCTGGATCCTACATGGCATCTTATCATTAGTATGCTGCCGTGATAGGCACCAGGAAAGGAAAATTACAGTACGTACAATATGATACAATTTTCCTTTTCCTGGAGCCTACATGGTAGCACACTAATGATATGCTGCCACTATAGGCACCAGGAAAGGAAATTTACAGTAAGTGTGATAAAGTTTTCCATTTTATCTGCATTGTTTTAAAGGGATAAACACAGTGAAATGTACATGTATTGCAGAGATGTACACCAAAGGTTTTTTTTTTTTTGGTCCTGACACACACTTTAATAACTAATCCAGACATGCACATTGACACCCAAAAATACGTAGCACAAGGTTAGGAAAGTCAAGGTAAGTACAGTAGGCATTGGACACTGAAAGAAATTTTTCACAAAATGTTTTCTTTTTTAGTTTTATGTGTGGTCAGGTTTTTTTATTTTTCTTCAGGGAGATATCCCCTCTCTTTCGGTCCCAGAGACCTGACAAGAAGTGAGATCAATTCTCCCAGACGTTTCATCTTTGGACAAACCAAAAAACTACCCTTGCAGTGGGGCTACCCTTGCATTGCAAGAGTTAAATGCTTGTTTACCTGGATTGTTAGACCAGTCCTTGCAGCTTCTATCCCCCTTCTCTCCAGTGGTCTATGTCATCACGTCTAATGCAGATTCCGTAGACCTGCATTTGATGTGAGGATGCCGAGGGACATTCCACCAGCCGGAGCAAAGCGGAGTGAGTTGAGCACTGAGCACTGGAGGAGCGGGGATCAAGTAAGTAAAATAACTAGATTCAATTCTCACTGGGGACACATATGTAAACTCCCTGTAAGTGTGAGCAACAGTAAGGGCTAGTTCACACCACAAACAGTGCGTGCCGGCCTGATTTGGCTTGTAAGACTTGTAAGAGAGGTTATCAGTGGCTGTTTACATATTTCTCTATACACAGGTTCCCCTGAGGGTAAGGTCTGAATGTGCGCATGTGGAGTTTGCTGTTCTTTTACTTTTGGATGCATCCACCACTGGATGTGAGAGCAAATCCAACAAAACATATAAAAGGGAGGAATAAGGTGATGAGGATGCAGAGAGGAGCCACAGAACTCACTGTGAGTAAAATGAAAGAAATTGTGAGGCACATTGCCATTCAATGAGTACATGTAGCGGACTGCAGGTTCCAGCTAAAAGCATGCTTTGGTTTCATCTATTTCAATTCTAGAGATGACAATTAAAGTGTATGTAATCCTCTGCAAGTAACTTCCTTTATTTGCTCCATTTTGTTCAATAAGTGCACAGTGATCCTGCCAGAAATGCAGTGCTGTGCTGTGTCCCGTGCACTGTGTAGTCACGCAGGGATGGCCAAACTGCGGCCCTCCAGCTGTGGTGGAAGTACGAATCCCATGAGGCTTTGCAAGATTCTCACAGCCACAGACATGACTCCCGGGGAGAGATGCATCATGGGATTTGTTGTTTCACCACAGCTGGAGGGCCGGGGTTTGGCCATCCCTGGTGTAGTGTGATGTAACACTTCCCCCATGTTATAGAGTTGAGAAGAGGGACTGTATTCTGCAGTCCTGTGCTATGCGGACCACACTTCCATAGATACAGTGCAGTATGTGAGCGTTGTCACCATAAGGCTGGCAGGAATCACCAGATGAAAATAAGTCTAAAACAGGAAACTCGTGCAACCACCACATCTGAGGACTAGTAAGTGTAATATATAAATAGTATGTTTTTGGGATTATATATACTAGACACAGAACGAGTTTGCCTTAAAGGAATCTTAATTCACAGATCACCATTGCGGATTGATAAAAAGACTACAGGCAGCAGGAAGGGGGTCTAACACGGACTAAACCCTCATATGAAGATTAGACAAATGTCATATGTTACACTTTTGAAGTTTTGTTGAGTTTTATTTATATAAATTTTATCTGAGCCCCAAATCATATGACAGGTACATTCAACCTTCTTCAGTCCGCTGCCCATAGCACTTCATAAGCCATAATCCATCTTTCACTGATCTGCCGTCAGTAATATGAATTTTGATTGGTTCCTGCACTTTGCACGTGCACTTTGTGTTTGCTCTTTACTCTCCTCTAAAATCAAATCAATGGTTCAGTCGACCCCTTTATAGCCCAAGCCAGCTTCTGATGGCAGCCTTCATTCGAACAAAATTATAAATAATGACGATTACTGTGATCAAGAACCAGAGTATAGTCAGAACTGTGGAGAAGATATTTAACCAACGGGCAGTGGTGCTGTATTGCCTGGCTTCGTTTTGCTTTCCATTTACCTTCTGGTCCCGAGACTGAAAGGAAAAAAGAACAAATATAAATAAAGTCACCAGCAAACTTGTATTGCAGTATATCATTGTGTATTTGGTACTTGTTTGTTGTTTAAATAAGAGTAGTACAAGTTTAAAGCTTGCCACAACTGAATTGATTTGCAATAGTTGCATTAAGATGTTTACATTGATTGCACAGCTTGTTATCACCGAGTATTGTTTAAAGTAGATTTAAACCGTATCATTAAGTCTCATATAAGCTTTACAGCCTGTGTCAAAGGGCTAGGCTTGTGTCAATGGCATCAGTTTTACATTCATTTGAGACGCACTGGAGATCATTCAGAATTCACTTACCTCCTCATTCAGTTGGTCTTTTTCTGACTTATATTTAACCTCTTTCAGTTGGGTTTTGCATTCCCATAGACCTGCATGGGACGGAAAAAACCCATCTGATGCAAAGAAAGGCTTGTCCACACAGTCCCTTCATCTGTTAATGTCCACGCAAACGTATCTTTTTTAATGTACAGCAGGGTGTTATGTGCCCTTTAGCCAGCTGACCGTGCATCCAAGGATAGTGATTGATTCCTAACTGCATGTAATCATATGACATACGATTACATGCGGTGTGCAGGCATTTACATGCAGCTGCTGTCATCTAATCATTAAAGGAGAACTATGAGGTGAGTGAAAATCACTTAGCCTCATAGTTAGAGCTGACTTGTGACAATGAAACTGTCACACGTCGTCTCAATAGATCGGGAAGTGAGCGAACACATGCCGTCGCTCGCTCAAGTTCACGTAGCTGGGTGCATCCTGGGTGCTGGGATCTGTTCCGGCTGCGGCAGTCTCAGTATACCGCGAGCTGTACCTCGCAATATACTGAGCTTTGAGTTACAGGAGGATGCTAGTATATGTTCTCCCGTAACCCTTGAGAACTATGGGGAAAAACACTTACCCCATAGTTCTCTATTAACTTGAATGGGTGACAGTTGCTGCTTGTAAATGCTTATAACATGCGCAGGCTTTAACACTGGTACTGTAGAGCAGGGCTCAAAATTTCCACTCGCCCCCTCGCAATTGGCAAGTATATTGTTACATTTAGTCCAAGGGACTAAAACATTTGTCCAGTGGCCCCTGATTACATTACATTTTAGAATCCTGATCTACAGCTTTTAAGAAAAGATAACTTGATGATCCTTCCATGTAGTTCTTTGTTCAAGTTTTGCCTATATGGGGTGACAACTGCCTCCCAACTGTATTGCTGCCTTGTCACCCTATCGTACGTGCCCCTGGTTGAGACTAGAAGCAAACATTTACGAAAAGAGTAAATAATGTTCATTTTCACTTTACAAGGGAATTTTCGCATACCTTGGTGAATGTGGTGAATATACTCAATCACGTGGAAGGAAAATTTAAAATCATGTATTAGCACTTGGTCATAAATAGATGATAGAAATAAACACAGCTCCCCTTGATTCACTAAGGTAAGTGAAAATCCCATTTGCAAAGTGAACATGCTCAATCCCTTCAGTAAATCAAAGTCATATTTCAAGCATGGTCAATCATTCTCATTATGAGTAAAGCAGGGATGTGCGGTCCGGGGAGGCAGGGGAGGCAGGGGAGGCAGGGGAGGCAGAGCCTCACCTAGAATTATGGAGAAAAAAGCTGTCAGCTTCAAGTCTGAAGCTGACAGCTTTTTCTCCATTCAGATCGCCATCTAACAGGTTACACAGGAGGGAAATCCTCCCCGCAGTGTAACCTGTCATGGACGGAGCGCTGCCTGCTAATTACAGGCATCTCTGCATCCGGCTTTTGACAGGTATGCTTTTGACATGTAGTTAGGTTACACAGCACCGGGCTTCCCCACTGCTTGTGTAATCTAACTATTGAAGCCAATATTGTGCCATTGGTCCAAGCTGCCCAATCAAAAAAAGAAAAAAAAACCCCCACTGAGGTCATCGATCTCGATGCCTCAGCAGTGACGAGCAAGTGAGGGACTGGGAGGCTCCTCGCTGTCTCCTCCCTTCCTCCTTTACTCCAGCTTGGGGACAGAGTGGGGTGGGGCTTCGTCCAGCGGGGTGGGGCTTCGTCCGGCAGGGGGCTGGGCTTCTGCCGGCGGTCGGGACGTGCTGGGGAATGCCTCACCGGGAACAAGAGGTACCGCACGTCACTGGAGTAAAGTAGTTCAGATGCTATTCAATCAACAATGGGATCTCCCTAGTATACTTTGGTCTGGAGTCACTTAGTTCCATCCCCTCTTTAACCACTTGCTGACCGGGGTGTTAAATCCCCTTCCTGGCCAGGCCATTTTTCAGCATTCAGTATTCAGCGCTGCGGTACTTTGACTGACATTTATTCCCTCATGCAATGCTACACCTGAGCGATTTGAAGTGTGTTTCCTAAACAACACTCATCACAAGATTTCAATGTTATTCTATAGGGCCAGTTCACATCTAAATCATGTGCTGTGGTGTGATGTGTCAAAGAGGTACAGAAGCTTCTTTGGGGCAAGAACGCATGTTATTGGCCTCATGGACTTTCATGGCATCATCTGAAAAAGGTGTGTAACATATTTTTGCCACCCCACAACCATCTCCTCTTCCTGATAACTTGCTTTTAATTAGCCCAAACAAGCATAAACCCTTCACAAAAACTGGTACCTAACCTCTAAGCCCTCATTGCACTGATGAGCCAGCATTAGAATTCTTATTGAACCGTGGGATGGCCGTTGCTGGAGTTCACCCATGAAGTCAGAGAAGTCTGGCTCCAGTGACACTAAAGCTGGCCATACACTGTAATATTTTCTTCACTCAACCTGCGGGCTGAGCAAAGAAAATATTACAGATTCCTCTATCAATGCTTAAGAGCGCGGGTCGAGGAATCTCCCGCTGTCTTCATTGTATTCTGACGGCTCATTGGCTGCCGGCTTTGTTTGTTCAGAGGTTTTCCAACCGGCTCCTTCGATCAGCTGATTGAGGGATGCTGGCCAAAAGGGGGGTGACAGCGGCAGCCACTGTGGAAATTTTGTACAGAAGTTCGTATAGTGTATGGCCAGCCTAAATCGAGGAGGGGCACAGAGGATTATCAGGCTAATAAACATAATTGTATTCATTATATGGTGTTTTCTGTTAAATTTAGACTATTGCAATATAGGTTCACTTTAAAATACAAGTCTGACCACTCTCTATAGTCTATGCATGGACTTTTTGTATTCAATACAGTGGGAAAAAGTTAGAAACTCTGTCAGACCTTTATTGTTGCCTTCATTTGGTAGATTTCTTCCCACTTCCTGTGCAGGTGACAGGCAGAACAGCAAGTGAGGTAAAATCACCTATCATGGGCACAGACAGCAATAAAAAGTTGTATGAAGAGCGCGAGTAGAAGTAAGAACCTCTGTCAAATTTGTATTGCTGTAACCCCATTGGGGAGAACTCCACTCACTTCCTGTCCAGGAGGAAGATGTCAGACAGAATTGGCAATGAGAGGAAATCTTTCCAAAGGCAATGACAGGAAAAAAAAAACAAAACAAAACAAAAAAACGTTATAAAGGTTCTCACCCTTCCCTAACCTGTGCAAAAAAAGTTCTGCCTGGAGTTGGGTTTCAATGTCACCTTTCCAAAATACAGCTGCACTTTAAGAAAAAGATGTCCAGCCCTCACCTTGATGGAGAAAATAAGTGCAATGAATCCCAGGCAGCAGAAGTTCATGTAGATGGTGTTAAATATAGACCAGATGATGTGATCACGCTCAGGAAGTTGGTTAGATGTTACGGTCAACACTGTAGATTCCTTTTGGCCACTGGCAACCTGCAATGGGGTCATCTCCACCTTTAGCAGTTCATCTTCTTTGCTCTTACAGTAAGTAAGCATGTTAGCCGAGGTCTCCATGACATGCTGAGAGGGTGATTCCTTATCGTCAGTTTCCATTGTCACCAGAAAGAGAAGCAAGCTATCAGCTTGTGGATGAAAATTTCTGCAGAGCTGTGGGAGGAAGATAGGTTAAGACGATTGTAGAAGAGGGTGGAACATCATGCATAGCAGAAGTTGATATCACTATTCATAGTGCTGAAAAATCCAGCAGTGTGAGGTTCTTCCCTAGTGCGGTTTGCTTTGTCTCCAGACTCTTATGATCAGACCGATCATTGTGAAACAGAGTAAAGTTTAGAAGATAAAGTTGAAACAAGACAAACAGAAAGTAGAACATTAATAAACCTGCACTAAGATGAGAGTAATGCATGTGTAGGTTTGACTCACACCAAGTGCATCAGCATTTATTTAGCTACATTTAGGCCTTGTTCACACCAAATGCAGACCAGATCTGCAGTGTGTTGTACCGCATTTTTTGCCGCGTTCCAGGCCGTTTTTTTTAGTTTAAAATGGGCTTTTAGTGCGTTCCAGGGCATTTGCCTGTGTTTTTGATGCGTTCGCATGCATCCCAGAGCAGGTAAAATAGGGCTTGCTGCAGTTTTTTACATGCTCTGGAACTGAACGCTGCAGTGTGAACTAGAGCCCAAAATACCATTGGAATACATTGGACGCAGTTTTGATCCGGTCTGTAACTGCTCTGCTCCTGGAACGCGCTTGGTGTGAACAAGCCCTTATCAATGGAGTTGAAACACATGGGCATAAAATGATCCATTTTTGCCAATAGGATCCGGCCTTACCAATGCTTGGCACTGCATTATGGGTGTGTTGACCTGCAGTTTGCATTCAGATTTATGTAAAGTATATGTAAACCCAATCACTAAAATCTCATATAAGTGTTAACAGGTTAAAGTACTTTCAAAAGTAATTTTCTGTATTGTTAAGCCCTCATTCACCCGACTAACAGTCGGCCCATATAGATCCGTAACGGGCCGCTCATGGAAAGGACAGGAGCTGCGTGTGATTTGTACGCAGCAGCCTGTTCTTCTCTATGGGAGTACGCCGCCGTACACTCACCCGATCCATCGTATCTGCATACGAGTACGGACACCTGCACCAGCACAGACGTGCAGTTCGGGTGAGCGTACGGCCGCGTACAAATCACGTGCAGCACATGTCCTTCCCAAGAGCGGCTCGATATGGATCTGTACGGGCCAGCTGTTAGTGGTGTGAATGAGGCCTAAATCTGCAGGTTCCATGTACTTCTGGCATGTAGTTTCTGTCCCCTTTCTTTCACATGGGCTTCTGATGTGTGAAACATGGCTACGTAAAGTGTGTAGTCACACTTGAGTGTGTGCAAGTAGACAGAAAGTTGCTGCAAGGAGGCTGTAGGGAAGCAGCACTGAGTGTAACAAAGTATGAAACGCCTATCAGAATGACATTTAGTTAGCACTGTGTATCAAAATCGATCCTGAAATGAGGAATAATCCTCTTATTTTTGGGATTTGTGATAGAGTGAGACACGTGGAGGCTTGATTATAAGGAGGCTCTATTGTGCTACACAATGATTAGAGTGAGTGCTTTTTGATTGCTTTAATTCCTTCTCACCATAACCTGCATGGTTATAAAATTCAGGTAAGAAAGTCCTTTCTTGATGACATTAAGAAGAATCTAGTAGGACTGAGACTACTACAGAGACTAAAAATGCAGAGTGTATCTGGCTATAGGGGTGCTTCCGCCCACTAGATGAGGGGTCTCAAACTCAATTCACTCGGGGGCCATTCAACAACTTTTTTTCTCCCATGAGGGCCGCTTGCCAAATTTTATACTTTAAAATAAAATGTAATTATATCTGGCATGGTACTACGGACACTAATATACTTACGATAAGGCCCCATTCATATCGGTAGGTTTAGGTGCGATTATGAAGCAGGAATCACTAATCTGGCTTTTACAAGCAGCAGCTGTCACCCATTCAAGTTAATGATCAGGTGATCAGGTGCATGTAAACGCCTGCACACCGCATGTAATGGTATGTGATATTACATGCAGTTAGAAAACACTCTCCCTAGATGAACAATCGATGCGTCGAGGGAGAGTGATTGATTCCTAACCGAATGTAATCATATAACATATCATCAATGCGATGGGCAGGTTTACATGCAGCTGCTGTCCCCTGATCATTAACTTGAATGGGTGCAGCTGCCGCTTTTAAACACCAGATTAGGGATTCCTACTGCAGGAGAATGCAAGTTCCTGACGCAGGAATCCCTAATCGCATGTAAAGATACAGGTGTGAATGGAGCCTAACACACTCCCCCCATACACATAAAAAACACACACACACACAAAATACTCCCCCTGCACATATAAAATAATACCCCCCTCCCCCCACACAAAATAATACTCCCCCCC